TTTGAGCAGTAGTTCAGCTGAGAGCCATTGGGATGAGGACACAGAAGCTTGCAGTTGGAGGAAACAAGACCAGCTGAGGATCCAGTGAGGTGAGATAGCTGTGGCTTGTTCTGTCTCTCTGATCTACCAGCATGGACCCCAATAACTCGCCTCGGGTTTGATTTTATTAATAAGAACTTTTAAGATTCCTGCTACAGATGAAAGATGTCATTAAAGACAGGATGAAAAGGTAAAGATAGAACAAGAGAACAAAAGCTACAGGAGCAAAATGACTTTGATAAGCTAAGAGTATCAAAACCCTACTGTTGATTACGTAGAAGCCAATAACAAAGAGTGGTCTCTGTCAAGAGATTGGCAGATACTGTGAGCCACGTAGGCTGGCTAGCAGAATTCAGATCCATAATTAAGGGAAAGGAAGGTAGAGACTCCGTACTTCAGAGACCTGAAGCCACTTGATAAGCTGAAGAGCAGCTTCTAGATCCATAGGCCTGCAAGTCACAGCTGCTGAACCACAAATCCAGAGATCAGCATAGGTTGAATGTCAAGGACTGCTAAGAAAGCAGCTCCTGGGGTAGTAGCAGGGTATCTGGCCATAGCTGGACCCCACATAGGACCTCTGGCAGCTGGTGGGCTCAATACAGGTCTCCTGACAGCCCCTGTGCAGAAATGATTCCAGCTGGTAGGTGCTGGGAGAGCAGCCAGCAGCACTGTAGGCCAAGTGGCTGGGGCAACAGCAGCCACCTGAGGAACCTGAGGAGGGCAGGCAGTGCCTATGGGAGGAGGAGAAGTTCCCACAGCAACAGTTACAGGCCATGTTGAGATTTGAACTCAATTGGGTTTAATTGAAAATCTTTTGATTTTTTAATGCCACCCTGTGGATAGGGGCATTTATCTACTCTCAGAAATGGGTGTGGTGCATAACCTTTTCATTCTTTCCATATTTGTCTGTTTCTTGGTTTACACATGTGGAATTCACCAATCCCTGTAATTGTAGTTGCATTTGAATAGTTTTCTGCATAGTATATTTATGTGTGTTGTAACTTTCTTGATACAGAAAAAGCCATGAGCTACTCTTATGTCAGAGACGGCATGACAATGTTTACACTAACACTTATTTCATCATGTCCAGGAAAATGTTCCTTTTCCCCTTGACATTGTTACTGGTGTTTTGCTATAATATTATGAGGATTTCACCTGTCTTACGTGATACATAATGAGAACTATGTCCTTAGTTCTTTACTGAAGTTGAGAAGTTTTACTCTGTGTTTCCTAAGAAATCTACTAAAGACTATACTATATTTCTTACTTTCCACTAATGTTTCTGGGTGGATTAAGGAACATAACATGCTGTTTTGCCTGCAATAGCAAAGGCACAAACTAATCCAAGGAAAACTGAACACTTTGTACCTAGGTAGAGAGAGAAGGAGAGGCCACTGATAGAGTTATCTGTGTCTCCTCATAATAAATATCAAATCTTGTTTATACTGTTTTGAGAATAAGACTAATTGTTGGCAGAAACCAGAGAGTTGAGATGGATATTTTTTCTTGATCATGTCAAGTGGATTTGACAATAAAATTAGTTCAGTTGTGTAATATTTTGTAAAACCTAGGTGCTTAATTTGAGAGAGTGTGCATAGCCTGTATCTCAGTGTCTACTAAGGCCATCCTTAGTCCTTCTTGCACATAGCAGGGTGCACTCTAAAACAGTAATAACATATGAAAAGGTTGATGACCACTCACTGTTATCAAATGAAAAGATGTGTTGATGTACAGACTTGGTGGGTAACTTTTCATTTGTTTTAATCATTTATTCTAATGTCTAAACAATATTTTACATCTATTTCTATAGGGAAAAACACAAAAAGCATTAGCCTCTAATTATTCTAATTATAAATTTAAAGTCAATGAAACAAGTCTTTAAAAATAAAGATGCCACAAAAAGGGATGAAGGCAGTGATTGCCAAACTATACTTCCATCATGGTTTACATATGTATATTTTTCATATTTATTGATTTCTACTCTGAATGGTAGAATAATTCAAATTGTTTGATACTGATTCCTGCATTTTTAATTTATATTTGTCAGACCCAAATACTGGCATTCCTCAGAAAGCTGGTTCCCCTCTACCAAAGGAGTCATTTTCTCCTTGCTGGCAGAAGGGACTAATGGCCATCTGTGATGGTTATTAGCATACCAAAGTACATGCGGGCATCCAGACTCATTCACTATCACGGGAACCTGTTATACATTTCAGAGTCCTTGCTGGTATCCTGGCTCTTCTCACCTGCCCCTCCTGTGAAGTTTTCTAATTCAGGGACTTCCTCTGCCCAGCTTCACATTCCCTTATAACCCTGTGATATCAGCTCTGTGCTCTCTGGGCCCTCCTCTCTTTTGGCCCTCTCCCATGGTCATCTCTTTCTCCTCCTCTCTTACTCTTTCTGCCTCTCTTTCCTCTCGTGGCCAAGTTCAATGTTCAGGCTACTATTTTCTCTGTGTGCTCTGGACTCTTCCAGATGTTCTGGCTGTTCTCTCTCACATATATTTACAATAGAAACTTTCACCTCCACCATACCTTGGAGTTGTCCTGATCTCACTTTATACAATATTATTTACTACACCATCCTTTGTCAAGATTGTGAGTTTTATTATCAGTTTGACAAGAACATTAAAACTTTATAAAGCTTTATTTGGATTGCCTCGCTCAGATGAAGAAATCAAATTACCAGAATTAATTATGTATTTGAAACATTTTACAAGTCTTGCAAGGAAATAGTAATATTCCACCTTCAGTGATAGTTTCTTCCGTGGTTGGCAAGGAAGGACACATGCTAGTTTTCAAATCTTATTTTTTTGGGGGGGCGGGGGTGTAAGTGTAAGCTCTGAGTTGACACATCTTTTTGTCCACTGAGACTAAGTGTGCATCTTCTAAAGATGGCTTATTTTATTTTACCTCTGATAAACTGTACGTTGTTATACACAGAATGGACTATAGGTGTGTTTAGCAGGTATTAAGTAGAAACAGGTGCCACAGAAGCTGTGTTAAGTACAGAAGAAATAAGTGTAAATAAGTACATACACAAGTGAAATGATTCCTTCATCAACTCTCTTTAACATTCCCAATGGGCAAAAAAATCTGAAAATCTGTTATCACCAAAACAGATTCTATTTTAAACATTATAAGAATAATTTGATATATTCAGACTTTTTTCATGTTTATTTTTCATCTCCAAAAGCTTCTATAAGAAATGGATTAGGAGGAAGAGCAAAGCTCGTCATTATACGTATATGCGGAAGGTTTACTTCAAGTTACTCACCAAAACTCTGTGTTAAGGCTGGTCATCAGACTCTCGTAGGAATCCCCATATATTCTCTGGGCTCAGTTACTGACTGCAGAAGCCCATGCAAAATTATATCTCTGAACACTGTATCAGGGAGGTCCACAGTTAGTGAAACTCTTGTGTCTCACAGTGGTAGAAATGATCCCTCTCTGCTTTCCTAGATGAGAACCCATGTAACCTCAGGCCACAAATGTCAGACACACAGGATCTAGGATCTAAGGTGTCTTTTGTTTTTTTTCATACTCTGGTACAATAAATCCTGACCACAGTCTTCTGTCCCTCCACTTTTCCCAGCCCCCTAACTCCCATCTCCCCCTGATCCACTGCTCCTATTTCCCTTCAGAAAAGAGCAGGCCTCCCAGTTAAATGAACCAAACATGCATAACAAGATGCAATAAGACTAGGCACAAACCATCATATCAAGGCTGGACAAAGGCAACCCAGTAAGAGGAAAAAGGTCCCAAGAGCGGACAAAAGAATCAGAGACACTCCCACTGCCACTGTTAGGAGTTCCACTAAAACCCCAAGCTAAACAACAAGATATATGTAGAGGTCCTACTGCAGACTGTTATATGCTCCCTGATTGAAGCTTCAGTATCTGTGAGCCTCTGTGAACCCTGGTTAGTTGATTCTGTGGGCTACGTTCTTCTGGTTTCCTTGATCCCTCTGGATCTCCTCTTCTCTGAGGTTCCCCAAGCTCTGCCTAATTTTGGCTCAGGGTCTCTGCATCTGTTTCTACCAGCTACTGGAAGAAGCCTGATGACAATTGGGCTAGGCACTAATCTATGAGTATAGCAGAATATCATTAGGAATCATTTCATTGACTTTTTATTTTTTTCAGTCATGTTTGATTCTACCCTAGATGTCTGAACCATCAAAACTTTCAATTCCTGGCCACCCAGGCAGTGTCAGGAATGGCTGTGTTTCATGGATTAGGCCTGAAGTTAGACCAGTTATTGGTGGACCACACCTAGAATCTCTGATCCAAATACTATCCTGAATGGACCCTATCTCATTCTAGCTCAAACTTATTCAGTTTTCTTGGCTTATATTGTTTGTTTGCTATTGGAGGTGAACCATGTTCCAATACTGTGTGTCCCCCATACATAATTAAAGAAAAATGAGAAAGATAGAGACGGGTATGGTCAATCTTCAGTACATTTCATACAAAACCCAAAGAAATGCTTCAGATCTCTTAAGAAGAAGAAAGGAAGATTATTTTCATTTTCTACCATTATTCTCATTTTCTACCATAAAAGGCAAGAATATGCCTCATAAATGCTCTCATATATATATATATATATATATATATATATATATATATATATATATATATGGGATTTCCCTGGATATAATGGGATAAGCTTTGCTGTAAAACAGTCATGACATTTCTGACATGGGAGTAGCTCATTGCCTTTTTGGGTATTAAGGAAATTACAACACCTCTAAATATACAGTACAGGAAACTATTCAGGTGCAATTGCAATTACAGAAAGATTCCAGCATTCTTCAATAATAAAAGAGAGGGCAAAAGAATGAGCAAGGCTGAGCCTATTTGGTACCACACCTCTTGTCGATAGTACTTAAGCCAATCTCTCCACATTGTGACAAAAAAAATCTTCAGAATCTTCTCAGTTACATCCAGCAGAACTCCTTTCAACATGGCCTACAGCTGCTGCTCTGGAAACTTCTCCTCCTGCTCCCTTAGGAGCTGCTTGCCTTCCTCAGGGTCCTCCTGTGGTTCTCCCTACCCCAGCAACCTGGTCTATACCACTACCAGCTGCTCTCCCAGCACCTGCCAGCTGGGATCCTCTCTGAACACTGGCTGTCAGGAGACCTGCATTGAGCCCACCAGCTGCCAGAGGTCCTGTGTGGTGTCCAGCCCCTGCCAGACAGCCTGCTACTACCCCAGGAGCTCCACACCTTGCAGTCCCTGCCAGGGAACATATGCTGGATCTCTGGACTTTTGGTCCAGCAGCTGCTGTTGCCTGGGCTATGGATCTGGAAGCTGCTACTCAGCAGGCTGTGGATGCAGTGGCTTCAGATCTCTGACTTATAGACTCTATGACTTCCCTTTCTTGAATGATGGGTCCAGAATCTGCTACCCAACTTACTTAGCTGCTAGTTCCTGTCAACCTTGTTGTTGACAGATATTTGGGCTTGGCTTTTATGGATTCAACTGTTAATTTCTATATCCTGACAATATCAGTGTCAATGTCTCTCTGCTTACAACTATTGTTTTCCTGCTTACCCCACTGGAACGCCTCATTCTTCCATTGACAGATCTTTACATCTTCAGCTTCTTCTGGATTCTTATATTTTTGTTAACTGCAAGTTATGTCTTGCTCTCTGTTCTAAGCATATATACATGTCCTGTGTCCTTTTCTTCTAAGAGCATTTAAAAATAAAAAAAAATAGTCTAATAAATGTGTGCATTCTGGCACCTCCATATATTGTCTACTTTATTATTTTCTTATTTCTTGTTTTTAAGAGACTTAAAGATCAAAATGGTTATCCAGATGTATTTGAGAACATATAATTTTGCTTTTGTCACATTAGTTATTGGTGGTAATCAATTCTAGGAAGATTGCCATATGCATCTGAAGAGTGGGTTAATCAACAGTCAGAGCTGCTTGATATTGAAGTAAAAGAATTTTCACTGATCCAGAGAATCAAAGCAGTTAGGATGTGACTAAAATGTAAACATCAGGAACGAGATGTTATAAAATTTATAAGGTAAGGCCTCTACATATACAAAATTATCTAAGGTTAGTATTTGAGTATACATATTGCACCAAGAGATTACTGAGTCTTGAACAGCTTTAAAGCCCAACCCTTCCTGGCTCACATGCATGCTGACTTCCCTGCCTCCCTAGTCTGAGTGTTGTCCATGTCTCATCTCCAATGTACTTAAGAAGTAGGAAACAACTTTGTGTTATTATTCTTAGTCTGAGTCTTAAAGCACAGTAGAACGCAAGGGCTCAGCCATACTTTATTTGACAAGAGTTTTAGAAATCTATCAGTGTAGAAGATGCACAAAAGAAGATCAAAGAGGAGAATTATGGTTAAAAAAGATGGGGAGCACATTTTGAAGTAGCATTTATAAGGTACAATTGATATTCTAAATTCAAAGGGCTTTCAGATCATTAAGGTCAATCATGGAATCGTGGACCTCTGGGTCTTGCCCACAAGAAAAAGCTTCATCTTTTAGTGACTCATACTGTGTCTTGTCCTACATTCCCATAATCTTATAAGGGAAGAATAATGGAGGGAATTATTGTCTATTGGTCTAATGTAACTTTGAGATATCCAGCTACTTAGCAAAAGAAATTATATATATATATATAAAACTTTACATCTCTCTATAAAATGTATATTTTATAATTATATATCATATATTTATATATAAATATGATGTGATATAATATAATTACATCTCTATATAAATGTGATATATGATTATATACATTATATATGTATACACACATACACACACACACACACACACATATATATATATATATATATATATATATATAGAGAGAGAGAGAGAGAGAGAGAGAGAGAGAGAGTGCAAAGGTAGTTTATTCAAGGTGTTGAACTCTCCAAGATCAAAATATCATGTGTTGTGTTATAGTCCTGACATGGATCATCTCTGTTAGCATGCTGCATGGAATATAGTAATATCTGACATAGACTATTCATTTAACACTAGGAAATATGGGAGAGACGAGGTATTTTGACCATCATAGGCATAAAGAAGCCTCACAAAGTGTTTGAAACTTTGCAATATTTATAGATCAAGTAATCACAGAACCTGGATTCTTAAAGGAATTTTCATACTTTATTCTTTCCTGAACCATTTAATTTAAAACACACAGCTCCCAGTGGAATGAAGGAATCTTCACCTTCCTACTATTCTGGAAACTGCTTCATATGAGTAGGTTTAGCCTATTGCCTCTACCTTATTAGCCTCATGTGAAAAACTCACAATAAAGAGTAAAAATAAGCAGATTTAGGCAAAGAACTAAAAGGGAATAATCTAATTCATTTCAAATATATTTTATTAACTATTATGTTAAATGATAGATTAATAGAAAAATATTTCATGACATCTTAGGAAGAAATCTTTTTTATATTAATTCTTTGAAAATTTCATGCAATATGCTTTGATTATATTCAACCCTCAACCTTCTCCAGGTCCCCCTTCCTCACCACTTTACTTTGTTTTATCACTATGTATTTTATTAATCTATCAAGTTAAGTTTGCACTACCCATACACCCTTAGATGTGAGGCCTTTCCCTGGAGAGTGGTTGACCTTTTAGGGGCTAACCACTTAAAGAAACTGACTCTTTCCCAGCAGCTCTCATTTGTTAATAGCTCCTCAGATAGGGGTAATATTTCATGCCCACCTCTCTGCTACACGCTGTGATTTGATTTGGCTTGAGCTTTCCCAGGCACTGGGTGCTATCATAACCATTCTGAATTCATATTGCAAAAGCCCTGTTTTGCCTGTAAAACCCCATTTTTGTGTAGTTCCACTGCTTCTGGCTCTTACTGTCCTGCACTCTCCTCCACAATGATCCCTGAGCCTTGGCAAAAGGCGGCATGACAAAGACGTCTCATTTAATGATGGATATCCTGCAGTCTTTATTTTCTGTACCTTGACTGGTTGTTCCTCTTTGTGTTAATAAAGCTTTTCTGATGAGGGTTGAGAGAGGCATTCATGTATGGGTATATAGTAATGCATTAGTAGTTTTTTAATACAGTTCCCATGTAGCAGAATACAGGTAGTAGGTTCTCCAGTAAGGTCTTACTCAAGGGGTTAGATGTGAATCCTCCACACTGCCAAACACAGATGAGACCCCATTGCTTCCTCAGGCCACATGACAGATACTCTGATACTAATACATGTTTCATGCTCTCATATTTTGTGTGTTTTACACTTTAACTATATTTTATTTACTTTTGTTCCTTTTTATTTAACAATTTTATGCAATATATTCAATCATGTTTCCTCCTTTACTTACTCCTCCTGGATCCTCCTCCCTATCTACCTATCCACACAGCTTCATATTCTCTCTCTCTCTCTCTGTCTCTGTCTCTGTCTCTGTCTCTCTCTCTCTCTCTCTCTCTCTCTCTCTCTCTCTCTCTCTCTCTCTCTGTGTGTGTGTGTGTGTGAGAGTAAGAGAGTGAGTGTATGTGAATGTTGTCTGTCTCTCTCTCTCTCAAATGAATAAACCAAACACCCCAAACACAAAAAATAAAAACAACAAAAAGCTAATAATACGAAAGAATGCCAAAATAAAACAAACAAACAAACAAACAAAAAAGAAAAGCATGGAATTGTGGAATTGGTTTAGTGTTAGCCTTCTTGTCCTGTACATGGGTCCTGTCCTGGAGTGTGGTTGATATAACCCTCCATTGAAGAGAGCTGATTTTCCCTTTGCCAGTGGGTACCAATTGCAAACAGCTTCTTGGCTAGTGGTGGGAGCCTATCTCCATTTCTCCTTCTAGTGATGGGACCCTGACTAGCTTGGACCTTTGTAGATCTTACGGGTTCCATGTTCTCTGTGAACTCCTGTGCATCCACCTGTTATTTCTAAAGATTGTTTCCTTAGGCTTATCCATCACTTTTGGCTCTCAGAATTTTCCACCTCCTTTTCTTAATGGATCCCTTGTATTTTTTTCTTTATTTTATTTTACATACCAACCACAGTTTCCCCTCCCTTCTCTCCTCCTCTTCCCTCCCCCAACTTCCTGGTACCTCCCCCATCCACTTCTCTGTCTCCATTTGGATGGGGTAAGGTCTCCCTTGAGAATCAACAAAGCATGTAAGCTTTGAGTTTTTACAGTGGTCCAAAATACCAGCATGTATTAGGCTATCTCATTGCTGTCCTTTGCCGTCAACAGAAATTTAATCATTGTCTTGCTTTCTCTGTTATTATGCTCATTGTTATTTATTTTTTCTTGGCTTATAGTGTACTCTTTCTACTAGAAAGTGAAACAGATAATTATGTATGGTCCACATAGAATAATAATGAAAAATTGCAATGGAGACAAGTATGGATAATCTTCGATGGGTTTTGAATGAAACCCTAAGTAATGTTCCCAGTTCACTAATAAATGGAAAAAGCACACTACTCTCATTCTACACAATGAAAGACAAGCATGTATTCCTCATTACATTCTGTGACAAAACATAAATATTACATCAAGAGGAAAAGGAGGGATGTTCCCAGACACGACAGAGTAAGCCCTAGTGTAAAAACATTCATGGCAATTCTGACATCTGTTTTCCTGACATTCCTTTTGCTATAACAAGGAAATTGCAACACTTGTAAATATACTGTACAGAAAACTATGCAAACACAACTGTAATTACAAAGAACTAATTGAGTTGTGCCATCGTAAAGGAGGAAGCACACAAATATGTGAAAGGTGACCCTGTTGGGTACCACACCTGTTTCTGAGAGTACATCAACCCATCTTTCCACAAAGTGACATTTAAACTCAGAATCCTCTCAGCTACATCCAGCTGAGCTCGTATCTCCTCTCAACATGGCCTACAGCTGCTGCTCTGGAAACTTCTCCTCCTGCTCCCTTAGGAGTTGCTCGCCCACTTCAGGTTCCTCTTGTGGCTCTTTCTACCCCAGCAACTTGGTCTATACCACCACCAGCTGCTCTCCCAGTACCTGCCAGCTGGGCCTCTCTCTGCAAAGTGGCTGTCAGGCAACCTGAATTGAACCAACCGGCTTCCAGAGACTGTGTGGTGTCTAGCCCCTGCCAGATGCCCTGCTACTACCCCAGGAGCACCACTCCTTACAGATCCTGCCAGGGGATGTATAAGGCATCTCTGGGCTTTTGTCCTGGGAGCTACTATTCTCTAGGCAATGGATCTAGAAGCTGCTTCTCTGGGACCTCAGGCCTGTGAATTATGAAGTGTCTGACTTCCCTAGTGTTTTTTTTTTTTTTTTTTTTTTTTTTTAATGGAGTGAGATTCTGCTGCCCAGCCTGCTTGGCTCCTAGACCCTGTCAACATTCCTGTTAAAGGTTATCCTGTATATCCGGCCTCTATGATTCAACCGTTCAGTTGCATACATACAGTCTTACAATATGCAAGCCAGTCTCTATGCCCTGTAGCC